AGGTTGCTATGAGCTATGACCTCACAGCACTCTAATAAGGGCAACAAAGTGAGACTCTGTCTCTAAAAAAAAAAAAGAAAGAAAAGAAAAGAAAAATACATCAGCACTAACACTGATAGTCTGGCTTACTGCCTTCCACCTAAACTGGGAGATAAAACTCCAGAATCTATGTTGTGCCTGTTGGCCAAACAGCTGAATTCCTTCCTATTCTTCTTCCTTCCTATTCTTCTAACATCTTACCAGCTCTAAGAGGTTACTGACTCAACTCATTCATTCAACAAGAAATCAGAGCCAGGTATCTGCAGAGGGACGGTGTCGGGTGCTAAGATATGGCTGCCCACATAACTGCCCTAGAGGGAAAAATCACTAACTACAACATAGCCGCTCCTTTGGGTGTGGGGATGGATCAGTCAAGGCGAAGCCAGGCTGCCATGGTGTCTTTCAGGGCGATGCCTTTGGGGGCAGGCGTGGGGAGCAGTCTCGCCCCTGACTGCAGGCACAGGAAGTCCAAGGCATAAAACCTTTGGCTGAGGCTTAGTTAAGGTTCCTTTCCTTTTTTTCTTTCCTCCCTTGTACACAGTTTAAACTCTCCACACTAGGTCATTCAAGCCTGGAGTCACCAGAAAAAAGAAGTCGCTGTTTGAGGGATGGCAGATGATCAAGAGTTCAGACAGCTGCGATGAAGGATTAGTTGTGGGTTTTTCTCACTGCCTCGCTACAAACTGTGTTGCAGTTCCATGTTCAAACACTATTAAATGAGAATGTTTTCTCTGGCACCCAGCCACCTTTTCCCCACAGTTTAAGTATTGAATTTTTTTTTTTTTTTAAACTGAAGTAGCTTCGGTTTACAGCTCACATTTAAAACTTAAAAACGTTATTTCCATAAATGTTGGCAGGAACCAGCCACTGTTTATTACACCAGCAGTCATAATAAACCCTTTCCCACTGACAATCTAACAAATCATTTTCTGTTTGCCACTGAGTTGGGTTCAGTAAAAATTGTGTGCTCTTAAAACTGCCTTAATAAGAACTCCTCAAAGCACACATTTCCTTCCTAAGGCGGCCTTTGTGGTCAATGTTCCCAGTGGTTCTCTTTCTGGATTCCAGAGGAGAGCATAACAGGTTAGTGGTAGGAAATCAGAAAGACTCAAAAATCAGAAGGAAAGTCATATATTGAATATGTTGGTAGAGATTACATTTCTGTCAATTAGTCACTTTTAAACGCATGTGTTATACAAACCTCCCTCAGCCTGTCCCTTCTCCACAAGTGTGAACATTAGCAGTGGCGACAAAGGGTAGTCTTAGACCTTGTAACAGTGGGTGCCTCCTGCTTGGGTTTCCTGAGTGGCAATGGGGCTGGACAGATGCCCCACCACGGTGGGCAGCCTCCTTGGACCTGCCTAGGAAACCAGACGGCGACCGTTAGGCTTCATGCTGTGGGTCTAAGGACAAGGGAGACATCTCACAGTGGGCCTGGAAACTCCCACAAAGCTTACAAATTTATTTGTTTTTTCAAAAAACAGGCCAGATTGAGGCTGAACCAATGGGGTCTCAATCCAGGAATCTTCTAGGCTCTTCCAAGAAATGCACTCAGGGAGGTGTTGGGTTGAGCTTGTTGAGTGCAGCCTGTACACTGGGGTTTCTTGATAGGTTTGGGCAAAGCAGTCCACTTTTTCTTTTTTAAAGGTTGGTTTGATTTCTTTTGAAATAAAAAATTTAGTAACTCAGCGAGCTCAGCAGCCTTCTATCAAAGCAATGTGCTCACAATATTGACTGTACCGGGGTCCTTTCCTTAGGTGACTTTGTTCAGAGGGAGGTGGAGCTGCTTTTCAATCTTCGCTTCAGAGAATCTCCCCCCACATATTCACACAAACCCAGCTCAACCCCTACATGGAACATGGTCTACAAAAAGCTCACCCCAAGCTCAGAGGACGAGGATCCGATGGTAGCTCTGCAGGGCACAGAGGTGGAGTGAGTCAGAACTCCCAGTCCAGCCTAAGCCCCTGTGGATGTCTCCCTTTGCTTTCCCATGTGCCTGGGAAGGGCAACTGCAGCCTGAAAGATAACCAGGGACTTAAACACCTGCTGGACACACTGTCCTACACAGACCCAGGGAGCCTGGGGCCAGAGGCATCCACCCTCTGGGTCCCCACTACTTCACAGTCCTGCTTTATGACCTTCTCCGCTGAGTTCAAAAGGAAATTCTTGGGTGGAGTAGAGGGTGGGGTGAGGAGAGACAGGAGAAACCCAGCATCCCGGGCAAAGGCCATCTCCCCCGGCAGGAAGCTGATGCATCACTGGGTGGAGGGTCCTGATGGGGAGGCTGCTGTGGACAGAAGTGTGTCCATCAATAATAATACTGACTCATTTAGCCAAACAGTCCCCTGGGGGTAGAAACTCTGCTGATGAGTTCATGGGCAACTTTAGCCACAGACAGAAGTGGTAGGTTATTGTCTTGGGTTGGGTATAGCGGAAGGAGAACCCGGCATGGGGATTCTTGTGCAAGTGCAAAAGGAAGTGCTCTCAGGAGGCATGAGGGGATGAGGGAAGCAGGACAGCGGGAAGGAGAAATAGAAAGAGGTGCCTAACTTCCCCGAGTTGGAATAGTGTTCTTGAGGTGGGGAGGGGGAACCTGGAAAAGCACAAAGGTGTGAGTTTTCTACCCCCAATTAATTACCAATACACACAGACCCAAAACACTGTCTCCTTTTATTCTTTTCCAGGTTGTTGTGGGAAACATCTTGTCTTCCAAATGCTGGCTTCCAACTGCTGGAGAGTCCAAGGAATTTGGAGGAGGCGGTAAGGTTGAATAAAGAAAGCTCAGCTTCCAGAACACCACACTCTCCTGGTTTACTCTGACCTCAAAGGCAACTCCTTCTTAGCCTCTTTGGCTGATTTCTCACTTACCAGAGAGACCAGGACTCTACTCTTGGCTCTTTCCAGTGGCTTCTCAGTGTATGCACACAATCCAGGTGGCCCTGCCCACCCTCACAGCTTCAAATGCCCTCAGCGAGCTGGTGACCAGCAGGGGGCGCTGTGGCGCCCCTCCCAGCTCCCTTGACAGAGCCCGCAGGCCAAGCGCAGGTGGCTGACGCCTGTAATCCCAGCACTTGGGAGACTGAGGCGGGTGGACTGCCTGAGCTCACAGGTTTTAGACCAGCCTGAGCCAGAGCGAGACCCCACCTCTAAAGAATAGCTGGGAATTGTGGCAGGCACCTGTACTCCCAGATACTAAGGAGGCTGAGGCAAGAGGATCACTTGAACTCAAGAATTTGAGGTTGCTGTGACCTAAGATGCCACAGCACTCTACCCAGAGTGACCAAGTGAGACTCCATCTCAAAAAAAAAAAAAAAGAAAGAAAGAAAGAACAGAGTCTGGGCTCCGGACCCATCCTGCCCACTACCCTGCATGTTGCCTGTGAATTGCTCACAGCCCCTCTTCCAGAGAACTGCCCTCAATTCAGCTATTGGTCTTCAAAGGTACCCTCACCCCTAAGGGACTTCCCACAGCCAATAAAGTAGAGGCTTTCTCAGTCAGTCCAGAGAGCACCCTCACTATCCCCCCAATGCTTTCAGGTCCCTGCCTCAGGCTTTGCTGGGGACCTGACCTGGGAAAACTCTCCCCTTTTATCTGCAGCTTGAACCTCCCATCTCACCCTCACAGCCCCAGACAGAGACCACATTCCTTACTCACCCACCCAGCCTGTCTTCCAGATTTCAGTAAATGGTAACACCATCCTCCCGTTATTCTGGCCAAAACCTTGATGTCATGCATTTACACATCTCTTTCTCTTACACTCCACATCCAACCTGTCAGCAAATCCCATTGGCTCTGCTTTCAAAATAAATGGAGAATTGGACTACTTCTCACCACTGCCACTTCCATGGCTCATGTCTGAGCCTGGAATCTTACAGTGGCCACCTAATAAGTCTCTCTGGCTCCTTCCACCCTTGCTCATTCTCAGGTTTTTCAACATATAGCAGCTAGAATACAAATCAGTCAAAGCATTCCTCTGCTGAAACCCTCCTAAGGTTTCCACCTCACTCAGCAGAAGCCAAGTCAAGGTCCTCTGCCATCTGCCCTCTTCCCCACCTACACACTCACACCTCTCCAGCCTTCTCTCCTTCCACTCTTCCCCTGCCCACTTTTCTGCTTGGCCTCACTGCTGACCACAGCAAGCGGATTCCCTGACCACAGCAAGCAGATTCTCAGCTCAGGGCATCACGCATGCTGTTCCTCTGACCTGCTTCCCTTACATCTCTCTTCTAATGCCACCTGCCCCGTGAGGCCTTCCCTGAACACCCTACTAGAACTACAGCCTCATTTCCAGGATTCCTTATCCCTCTTCATTGCTTTATTTTTCTGCATAGCAATTAATACTATCTGATAACTTCTATATTTCTTCCTGTTAATTGGTTGTCTATAGAATGTGACATCTCTGAGAGCAGGGATTCTTTTCCGGTTATTCTGTGAAGTATCTCTAGTGCCCAGGTCAATGCCTACCACATACTAGGCACTTAATAAATATTTACTAAAAGAAATAAAACTAGACAGCCTCTGTCTTTCTCCGCCCTCTAACACTGAGATTTACATTGTCCTCAGTAAGGTTTCGGAAATGCAAAAGGGTAAGGCAAAAGCCACATTTCCATACTCTACGCCAGTGGTTCTCGACCTTCCTAATGCCGCGACCCTTTAATACACACCCTTCATGTTGTGGTCACCTCCAACCATAAAATTATTTTTCTTGCTACTTCATACTATAATTTTTGCTACTGTTATGAATTTTAATGTAAATATCTGATATTAGGCAACCCCTGTGAAAGGGTCATTCGACCCCCAAAGGGGTTGAGAATCACTGCTTTACACCATCTGCCCAAATTCTCAGGTCAGACCAAGTGAAGACCATCATGAGGCCTGGAGAAGTACAGCCTTTGTCTTCCACCATCTTTACTAGATGGGGAGAAAGGAGACTAAAATCTGGAAGAATGGAGAGGTCAAAATAGGTTTTCACAATTAGTATCTTTTAGAAATGTTTTTCTTGTTTAAAAAATAATACTGATTTTCTGAGAAAAAAACAAACCATGGAAGACTGTCCCTCAAACCAAAATGGTGAGAAAGGCAGGTGGGAACATGAGGAAGGCAGGTGTAAACGGGGGGTGGGGGCAGACAAGTGTGAACATGAGGAAGACTGGTGTGAAGATAAGGAAGACCAGTATGAAGATAGGAAGGCAGGTGTGAACATGGGGAGGCAGGTGTGAACATGGGGAAGGCATGTAGGGAGAGCAAAGGGGGCTTCCCTTTTGCTTTATACGGTAAAGAGAAGGCTTTGAGGTATCAACAACCTGGGCTGTTAGAAGGAGGACAAAGAGTCTGTGTTTCCAGAACATCTAGAAGAACTCTCTTTGGTTGCTGTGGACTAGCTGGTCTCCTCCAGTTCCAAGAGGTCATCCACGTATTCTATAACCTCTCCCTGGAAGAAACAACAAGATACCTTTGTCAGGTAGGCTGCCCAACTTTTACAAGTGCTGGTGAGCTAAACAGTTTCTAAGAGGCCACTGCCACTGTCTGCTTGGACTGAAGCAGGTTTTCTCTACTGGCTTGGGGCCCAGACAATCTGACTTGTCCCTGCGGAGGGGACCTCCCTTCCACTCCATATGACCTTAGTATCTAGTGCTCTGCAACCCCCACCAACGGCCTGGGTGAAGGTCTCCCCACCTTGTGAAATGGTTCAGCCACCTATGAAAGCCCTGCCGAGTGCCCCCGGCATTCCTGGCACCCTTCCCTCCCCTCCCATCAGCAGTTCTCTCCCAGGAACACTTTCTATTCCTGAACTTCTCAAGGCCCAGGGCCTGGGCTGGTTTTTCTTCTCCAGAGCCTGGCACACACAGAAGTTTACAACACTCATGTTGAAGGCTGACCGAGTATGTGCGTGCACGTTGCTGGTGGGACTGAGGCAGTCACTCCACTGACAGGAGAGACTCCTGGGGACAGAAGGACTGTCAGTACCAGAAGCACACGTGCTCCCCTCCTGCCTGCAGTCAGTCATAACCACCACTCCAAGAAGCCCACATGCTCCCTGATTTCCTCCTCTGCCCTGGTTTCTCTCCCACAACCCTCCAGGGCCACCAGCTGATGGCACTCATTCTCTTTCCTGCAGAAGATGAGCGAATCACCAGAAGGCCAAGGCCCCTTCCCCAAAGGTCAGCACAGGCCAGGTCCCTGACGCTCACCACCCCTAGGAGAGCATGACCTTCACAGAACTCACTACCCCGGGCTCAGAGTGTCCTTGCTCCTTTGGATTTTAACATAGAGATTTACAAAAATCTCACAGCACTTGGGAACAACTGGAATATCAAGTGCATGCGACACAAAAGGGAAGTCTTAGCATTTTCATCAAGTATTTCTACAATGTCCTGTCTGAGATCAGAAACTCAAAATTACGGTAATAAAACACTGCAGCTTGAAAAACATGTTCTTCAGTTGCCTTCTGGACCCCAAAAGGAAAACATGGCACAGTAGAACAGTTATGGGTATAGCTGTGACAGCTGTGACATCTGCTTCGGGAGCTGCTGTGTCCTGCTGTGTGGCTGCCTTGACATGAGGGATAATGGTGTGGCTTGCTTAGCTCACTAATCATAAGTGCCTGGGGCAACACAGATGAAGGGAAGCTGTCCCCAGACGGCTCTTATGGTGGATGCTGTTGGTGTCTCACCCAGGTCTCCTTCCCAGGGCACCCATCCTGATTCCGTGAGGGCTGGTTGCTAATGGCTAACAGCTGCCCCTTCCCTGGGCAGCTGCCCTTGGACAAAAGAAGTGGCCTTACCAGGAAGGTCACAGGCCAACATTTCCTGCCAGCCAAGAACCAGTGACAAACTGATAAGGGAGATTACAAAAGGCCAGAACACCCTGCAGTATGATTCACGCTCCACAGCTCCCATGGGGTCAGGCCAGGCTGCACTGCAGCTGTGACCACACATTTGCTGAGTTTCTTCCTCTGCGCCTCTCTCCTCTGCTACCTGAGAGCTCTCCCTCAGTAAATTATTCAGCATCTCTGTTCTATTTCTTGTGGAGTTTTCTGACGTAACCAACCATTACAGCCCGAAACCTGAAGCATCAATTTCACTCACTTTGTAAGTTTCTGAAATTGTGATAGGTCTCGGCAAAATTTGTACCCAGTGTGCAAACTTTCAGGAGTATTCATATATACATATTTCGACCCCAGAAAGATAATAAGGAAGCATGCTGGCCAGGCTTGGTGGCTCACGCCTGTAATCCTGGCACTCTGGGAGACCAAGGTGGGAAGATCACTTGAGGCCAGGAGGTCAAGACTAGCCTAAGCAAGAGTGAGACCATGACTCTATTAAAAATAAAAAAAAAAAAGTTAGCTGGGCATGGTGGCACACACTTGTAGCCCCGGATGCTCAGGGAGGCTGCGGCAGGAAGATGGCTTGAGCCTAGGAGTTCAAATTGCAGTGTGCTATGATGACACCATGGCACTCTAGCCAAGGGTGACAGGAGAGACTCTGTCTCCAAAATAAAAAAGTAAAAATGCCACAAGTATCAGTAGCTAAGTTGTATTGTTCTTTATTTCAAAGTAGCACTATATCCTTTACAAAATTTAAAGATTAAACTAAGAATTTCATTGTGTTGGTTATATTTTCTTTCTAAATTATCACTTACCATAATTTCATATACAGTAAAGAAAATAGTTCATTCTTTAGTGATGGATTCTTTCATAATTTTAAAGCTTCAACTAATAAGCAAACTACTCCAGAATCTTTAACAAAGGCCTTTATTTTGAAAATGCCGGCTTGGTGCCTGTAGCTCAGCGGCTAGGGCACCGGCCACATACACTGGGGCTGGCAGGTTCAAACCTGGCCGAGGCCTGCTAAACAACAATGACAACTACAACAACAACAAAATAGCTGGGCATTGCAGCAGGTGCCTGCAGTCCCAGCTATTTGGGAGTCTGAGGCAAGAGAATCGCTTAAGCCCATGAGTTT